AGGAGGGACAGTGGTTTGGACATGTCCAGTGGAGGGACAGTGGTTTGCTCATGTCCAGAGGAGGGACAGTGGTTTGGACATGTCCAGTGGAGGGACAGTGGTTTGGACATGTCCACAGGAGGGACAGTGGTGTGGACATTTCCAGAGAAGGCACAGTGGTTTGGATATGTCCAGAGGAGGGACAGTGGTTTGGACTTGTCCAGTGGAGGATCAGTGGTGTGGACATGTCTAGAGAAGGCACAATTGTTTGGACATATCCAGTGGAGGGACAGTGGTTTGGACATGTCCAGTGGAGGGACAGTGGTTTGGAAATGTCCAGAAGAGGAACAGTGGTTTGGACATATCCACAGGAGGGACAGTGGTTTGGACATGTCCAGAAAAGTGACAGTGGTTTGGACATGTCCAGTGGAGGGACAGTAGTTTGCACATGTCCAGTGGAGGGACAGTGGTTTGGACATGTCCAGAGGAGGGACAGTGGGTATATTGGTAGAAGGATGTTAGAAATGCAGCTGCCAGGAAAAAGACAAGGAGGAGACATATCGATGCAGTTAGAGAGGACATGAAGGTAGATGGAGTGAGGACAGAGTGAGATGGAGGAGGATGACTCACTGTGGAGACCCCTGAAGAGGGAACAGCTGAAAGAAGAAGACAGGTTACCACGTTTAATGCTATTTAACAAGGCTGGTCTCTTTCCATTTAACTGTTTTGTTTTGTTGTTAACTTTGTGTTTGTTTTGCTCCTCCCTTCTTCAGGGGTCGCCATAACAAACTAAGATGCACGAAGACTTGGCGATTTTTTTTTTACGCTGGATGTTCTTCCTGACACAACCACAGACACTGAGCTACCACAGCCTCTGTGTGGAGCACAGAGCTAGGGTGCCCGGAGGAGCAGATGGTGGGGGTTAAGGGCCTTGCTCAAAGGACCAGACTGGGGCAAATGAGGGTGGAGGCAGATGTGGGTGCAGCACCTATTCCACGCACATTTTGATATTGTCGGTACCGGGAGTTTAACCAACGATCATCCAATCACAGGCCCACCTTCTCTAACCTCTGTGCCACCGCTCCCGTTTCCACAAAACTGTTTTTTTGTAAAAGTGTCCTAAAAAGATTAGAATTAAAATGTCATCAAAATAATGGTAGAGGGGTACGACATAATTAATAGAATTAGGAAAACAATGCAATTCATTAAAGTATTACATAGAATATTTCTGGTAATGCTTTACTAATTGTAAGGCAGTTCAAAGTGATCTGGTGCCAATTTTTCTACAGTTTTTATTATGTTCGGTGGAATGGTAGCTTCAGGCTGTTTTCAAGTCAGATGCTTCATGCTTGTCATGAGTTGTTCGGTTTTGTATTTCTGTTTAAACTGCATTTTGTTGAATATGGAACAGTTCATATAAGTTTTCTTTTGTAGCCAAGTCTAACGGTTTTGTTATTTTAGAATTGATCTTTTTTCACAGTTTCCCCTTAGTTTCAACTCACTTCATGCAAAGATTATTTGCAGAGCATCAGAGCCGTTCCTTGGTGCAGTTAAACCAGCAGCTGTTGCAGCTTCACATTTACACAGTTAAATCAGATTTGCCTTCCTGGAACTTTTAGAGCAACTAACTTATTCTCATCGTCCCATCGATTATTTAGGTGTTGCCAACTTCAAGAAAATTGACACTTGAAAGATTGTAAACATAAATCAGCTCATTCAATGTAAGTGTAAGTTATTATAAGTTTGCTAAGTTAGACAAACATCAGTTGATGTGAAATGGTTGTTTGTTGTCCAGGACTGAAGTGAACAGAAACATCTTCTGTTGAGGGAGACAAAAAACATCTTAAAACCACCAAGATGAAAAATTACTTTGAAAAAACTATTAGAGTCTGAAAAGAAGCAAGGTGGTTTTATTTATCAATATATGGGTGTTTAAAAGTGTTTTTTGTTCTTGGTTGTTGCCTCAAAGACAAATACAGAATCGTTGCGAGGATGATCAGCACATGATTTTCAGTCTAGCGTTGGCAGGGGGCCAACGTTCGACAGCCGAGGAATTACAGTAAAACTCATCATCCACTGAATAAATAGCTGAAGTATGTTTCAGAGCAGCTGGAAGGCAGAGGTGCTCACACCTGCCTCTACAAACAAACCCACACACTGCTTCCTGTCAGCAAAGAGTCGCGTCAAATAATTCTGCTGGCCTCTGCAGCCCCGTTTCACATTTTCTGGATTTCACTTCTTCTTTAACGCACAAAGACAAGCACAACGTGCACGCAGCTACCTTTTACATAGACGTAGATGGAGGCCTGCTCCTTGGATCTCTCGTCTTGGCAGATAAAGCGACCCATATTATGAGGCCGGGCCTTGGAGACATGCAAGGTCAACATCCCATTGATCTGCTTTGCATTCAGTGGTTTGGTCCGACCCCCTCGCCTCCACTGTCCCCCGCTGTCCCCCTGGCAACGCAGGTCAAAGGGCTCGTTAAGTTGGACGACGAAGTGGGGTCCCTCTGGGATGATACGGGGCTTCGTTTTACCTAAAACGACATCAGAAGTGTATTTTGATGTATACCAAACATATGAAAGTTGTAAGCTCTGTCATGAACAAAATAAAAGCCTCGTTATTTTCTGTATTTTTTGTTAGTAAAACATACATAAACATGATTGCATTTCTTAAATTTTACTTTAATGCTTTTCATGCTACAGGAGCACGATGCACAGCAGAACCAACACGAATCAACATCTGCAGTCTGTCAAGCTTCGTGCACATTACACCAGCCCAATTTTATCAATCATGAAAAACAATACATTTAAGTAAATTACGTGACAGGTCTTTTGTAAGATTTCAGTGATTCTCTGAATACATATTTTATTTGTTTAAAAAGTACAAATAAGTAAAGGTTTCATGCCACAACTGTTTTATCACAACACCCTAAACCCAGAGAATATTTTAGTGTGACCCCGGCACTTTGTACCCAGCTGAGCAGATTATAGATGAATTTCACGAGGATAAATGGTTTTCTCAAAGGGGGGGTTAACCTGCTGCAAAACAGGTGCTAAAAGTGAACGAGCGACTTGCTTTTGTTCCTCGAGAAAATCTCTCTTCCTAGATTGAAGCGATGCGATGAAGAGCGGGGGCTGCAGCCTTCAGCACAGAGCCCACAGTGGGAGTGAGAAACAGGCCGCTGCTGTCGGAGACGCGCTCTCATCCTGAAAAATCTACATTTTGAGTTAAGTTCAAATCAAACTCAGAGTCTGCAAACTAATCCCGAAGAGATCTGTCATGCAATGGAGGAGTGAACAAAAAACAGCAATAAAGGTCTATGTGACAGAGCACAGACTTGGCAAGCACCTGTATTTGAGATGAACACGAAGAACTGCAGCAGTAGATTTCCACTCACAAAGTGACAAAGGCTTGTAACTTTTATAATGTACGAATGTTTCTGTTCAGTGCAGACGACTTCTGTTGTGACTTGGAGCTATAGAAATAAACTGAATTGAATTGACTCCATCTGCTGCTAGTTTAAAATATATTGCTCTTAATCTTATTAAACAAGAACACAGTGTCTGTACAAACAGTTTTCACAACCGCCCATGGTTTAATGTGAGTCTACTTTTTCATTCTGTCACAATCCTGGTGAAACTGCACTAAACAGTTCAATTTCAGAGTAAACTGATACCTGAAAATCATCCAAGAACTTAATGTTGTATGACCCATGATGGGTTCCAGATTAAAAAGCAGAGCAAATTCAGTAAAGTCATATCCATGTCAACGCGTCATGAAGCATCTACGGAGCGCGAACAGGCCCAAGGCGAACTTCATGGCGCGCCTCGTTCCATCACATGACTGTTCAGCTTCCATGAGCTCACTGCTGCTTGGAGATGTGTCAGTCATTCAGTGATCACATGAATATACCGTGGACTTCTAAACCTTTCACTTTAGGTCCACATCATGACTGAGACCAGAAACGACCTCCACCTGCCGCTGCCCTGAACTGCTCCATCCCTTGGAGCGGAGCGCAGGCGCGCAAAGTTAAATATTAACACGTTCAGGGGAACTGGCTTTTTACTGCATCCTTCATAAATTTGCTTACTATCTGTTGCAGGGGGTGGGGGGTGTCCAACTGAATTTCCCCGAACAAAAAAAAAAAAAAAACGTGCATTGCCATTTAACTCAAGTTTTTTAAAATAAATATTTATGGATCTTCTCCTGAAGATGATGTCAAGCTTTTACCCACAGAGCTCAACAAAAGTAAAACGTTGCGTTTTCAGCTTTGTGCACGAGACCAATATTATTTCAGAGAAACAATAAACAAGCCTCCCAAAGAGCCACGAGCAGATCTTATCTTATTTGCATACTACCCAGGAATCAGAAGCCAATCTTTTCCTCATGGACAGCTGCGGCCGGAGGAAGAGCGCAGGGCAACGGGGATATTTGCATCTCAAAAATGTCATTTTCCCTGCTGCTTATTTTCCGCTGTGGCTTTGTTTCCTGATGAAAACATAAATTATTTACACACCTCCTGCACGTAAAGAAGCAGCCAGAGTATCTACTTCCCTCATTGGGTTTCTGTGACTCCAGGTTCTCTGTATCAGTCCAATCTGACCGCTAAGGTTCACTGAACAAAGAAAAGTATGTCAACGCGTCACCACAGGACGGTTTTCTTTACCTTAATGGATAACCAGGCGCACAGTCCAGCCTTTAAAACACGCACAGTCGTTTCGGAACGTAAACAGCAACAAGTCTCATGCGTAAAAACCAACTAAACACAACTGGCGCACCAAGCGCAAAAGAAACCGTCAGCCTTACCTGGCTGGATGTTCAGCTGTAAAAGCACAAGCAGCAGTATCCAGAGGTATTCCATAGTTATTATTCCATGGGTCTAATGTGAAGGTGAGCCTGTGTGGGCCAGGTGGCTCCGCGCGGCGCCTGGCTGACTTGCGGGAAGTTGACTGCGGTGCTTGGAGAGGCGCAGTCACTCGGCTGTCAAGGCACCGATGCTCAGGAGCAGCAGCCTGTCTGAAAGCATGCTGTTCTGTCCTTCAGCGCGCCACAGTGCCCAACAAGTCCCTCAGCCTCAGGAACACAGAACATGCTTTTAGGAAGCGGTGGAGCCTATTTCACTCACACGCTCCGCTGCAAGAGGGAGGGAGCGCTCACTCCTCACTGCCTCCCCAACAGGAAAACAGAGACAAGAGACGCGCGCACTCATCTCATGGATCCATTCTGGACTGTCATGGATCAATCATAATCACACTCACATTTTGTGTTTGTCATTAAAAGCCAAAATGTAACAAGTTCCCAGCAGCGTCTTCATTGTAAAACTTCTTTCTGGAAATAAATGATGTGAGAATGTCTAGTCACAGATGATCCAGTAGTTGTTCCGTGTTTTCACTGAGTGGAAAGCCCACGCTAAGCTCTTTGTCATATGGACCAACCCCCACTTCTATTTTGACCAATCACCTACATTTTTACAATAAATGTTATGGATGGTTGGACTGCAAAGGCATTCTTCTCAAGTATTTTGTAATAAGCCTCAACTTTTTCACTTGTCCTACAATAAATGTTACATTTTGTCCACAACATCAGTTAGGGGGAACATCAAACAATGGCATCACTGAAAGCTAAAAAGACCTTTAACATGCACTTTACTGAGTCTGACAGTCCAACAATAAAAACTTACTGCGTTTTCCCCATGTCCATTTCTAAGAACATATGGATTTGACCTAAATATATATATTTATATATATATATATATATATATATATATATATATATATATATATATAGCACTAAGTCACAACAGAAGTTGTCTCAGGGCACTGAATGGAAAAATTCACATTTATAAAAATAATAATTTAATATTTATCTGAGGAGCAGACTTCTTTGAGTTTAACTCCATCACAGAACTCTCATCTTGAACAAGCATGAAGGCGACAGTGGAAAGGAAAAACTCCCTCATGAGGAAGAAACCTTTAACAGAACCAGGATCAGGACAAGCGACATCTGCTTCGACCAGCTGGGTTTGGTAAGAACAGATACACAATGACAGGTCAAGAATTACGTTAAGACAGAAATAGTATCAAAAGAAAACTATTCAATTTTAATAAATCATTTAAGGAAATTAGGTCAATTTGTGGCAGCACGGTGGCGCAACTGGTAGAGCTGCTGCCTCTCAGTGAGAAGGTCCTTGGTTCAAACCCCGGTCCAGGGGCCCTTCTGGGTGGAGTTTGCATGTTCTCTCCGTGCATGCGTGGGTTTTCTCCGGGTGCTCCGGTTTCCTCCCACAGACCAAAAACATGCATGTAAGGCTGATTGGTAACTCTAAATTGTCCCTAGGTGTGAGTGAGAGAGTGAATGATTGTTTGTCTCGTTTGTCTCTATGTGGCCCTGTGATGGACTTGCGACCCATCCAGGGTGTACCCCGCCCCTCGCACAGTGATTGCTGGACATGGGCACCAGCGACCCCCGTGACCCAAAATGGAACAAACGGGTAAAGAAAATGGATGGATGGATGGATGAGGTCAATTTGTCCTCTAGTAGTCTAAGCCTAAGGCAGCATGAGAAGCCGACCCTAACTATAGGAATTATCAAAAAGGAAAGTCTTAAGCCCAGACTTAAAACTGGATAATGTGTCAGTCTCACAGACAGAAACTGGAAGTTGGTTCCACAAGAGAGGAGCCTGATAACTGGAACATCTTCCTCCCATTCAGCTTTTGGAAATTCTAGGAACCACAAGTAAACCTGCAGTCTGAGAGTGAAGTGCTCTGTTAGGAAAATATGGAACAACAAGATCTGTAACATAAGATGGAGCTAGGTTGTTGAGAGCTTTGTAGGTTAGAAGTAAGATTTTGAATGAATTGAATTAAACTTGTATCTCATTGGGCTGTGACTATTGGACAGTTTGCAACTCAAAAGTGCAAGTAAATTGCAACAAAAAAAGGCTAATATCACATCCGCTGGCTTTGTAGCTTTGTACCCATTTTTATAAATTCTATATATCATTGGCTTAGTTTTCTGACATTTAGACATTTTTGGAGCTGTAATGAATGCTAGGAACGCAGATATGAACTGAAGCGAGACAGTCTCGAAACGTAGAAAAGTTAGCAGTGTTTTATTTACAGAGCAAAATATCAAACGTACAAGGGAGGCTCTGGAACCCTGGGCAACAAGGAGAGAGGTCAGGATGGTGGAGTACCAAGACATGCAGATGAATGTGACTGCCTTCCTTACAGTTGGTGTTATGAGACAGAGTAAGGAAGAAGGTCCACAAGGATTCCAGCATGAAGAAGGAGGGTGTCTCAGGTGGCAGGCAAGTGTTTGGACGGCAGGAAGACGGCTGAGGAGGAGGTCCACAAGGAATTTGGGTTTTTCTCTGAGTCCAGAATCCAGTGGAACTAAGCTGAAGAGACTGAATCACGGAGAAAGCTCAAGGTAAGTTTAAGTATTGCAGTAATACCAGGTAGGCATGAAATGCTCCAGCGGGGAGTAGAGCTCTTCTGCAGCCTTTTACACTCCTGGCTCATCATCAGGGGTCGCAGGTGTGATTGACTGGGCACCATATTCGAACTCCAGATTGTGCAGAAAACTGAACTCCCACAGGGGGACATTTGGCGCTGTCTTGGGTGTCTTTAGTTATAGGTGACCTGTGCAGGAATCAAATACAGCTATAGAACTTCAACAGAACTGGGAAGGGTTTTAGGTGGGTTTATGATAAACATGAGTTGTCATGTTTATGTGTGACTAACAACTTGTGTGTGACTATTTTGAGAGAATATTTGCTGCACAAATTTGCCTGCCATAAATTCCACTTGTTTCACAAATTTTCTGAGCAAATTCAAAATTCAAGTGGGAATTAATTCAAGGAAATTCAGGTCCTTGCAAAGTTTTAGTCATTATGGAGAAGCCGTTAGCCAGCTAGCCTTCAGCAGTCTAAAAATATCAACTTAACAAAATCTTTTTTCACAGCATGAATTGATATAATTTTCAAAATATTCACAGTATCCTACAATAACATGGGTATTTAAAATATGTAATGAACAACAAAGTCCATGCTCAATAATCCAGGCATACAATCCAACATTTTTCAGTCAGGTCATTTGGACAGTTTCTTTTTTTGTGTGAAACGTTTCAGCACAATAAAAGAAACTGTCCAGATGACCTGACTGAAAAATGTTGGATGTAATTAACAAGTTCATAGGCTCTTATAACATCTGAAATCCATGCAAAATTCTGCTTAATGAGGGATTTCCGAAATCCGGCCATGTGTGCTAAATTTCATTTATTGTGATTTTTTATATTTTATTTCATACAGCACAAAGTTTTTTTTAACAGTGAAAATTTGTAATACTCCTCAATACAATATTAGAATAAAATGTTAACAGAACATCTGTCAAGTTACTTTATTTATTTTCTTGGTTTTACATTAAAAAAAAATATATGTTTATTACTGCAATCATTATGGCCACGGTTTTAAACTGCATTTCTAGAATAAATCCAAATATTTCTTCTGTCGTGTACACAAACAAGGTGTGTCTCAAACAGGAAATGGAGTTGACTGTACAGTACCTGGCACAATGGCTGATGAATGTAGCTCATGCTTTTATAACCTTCATGGTAGAAATTATTTACTTATAAAATTAGAACCCATTATATCATATTACCAATAAATAAACAAATTAATTGAAATGTAAATGCAATGTTACAATCTTTGTATATTAGTGGACAGAAAACCTTCCCTTTCCAAATAATATTTTCAAGGTCAACAAAACAGCTGACTTCTATAACAATGAATCAAAACTTGAAGCACGTGAATGATCGTGCACCACTCGTGTCTTACTGTCATCACAAAGCACTGATCAGTCCTGCTCCTGACTTGGATTAGATGTGCTTTGTTTATTTTTTGCAAGATCTGTTTAACTTGCACACACACAGCATGTAATATCTCTGCTGCCAATCTGACATTTTTCACTGACAAACAATTGCAATTGGCGAGTAAGTTTTGAGCGTGGTTTGGCCAAAATTGCTCAAACACTTTTCAGGTTGCGAGCTTAATCTTAAACAGACAGTTAACTATCCAAAGCAGCTGACACAGATGGTTTACACAATTTACATTTCAAAAGAAGCTGCAGAAGATTTGTAAATTCAAACTAATGGAGCTCAATCAGCTATCAAATCCCAATTGGAAAATAAATAAATAAATAAAATACAAAAACTCATATGCTGAGCAGTTTTTAATTGGCATAAAGTATTGTTAAAGGAACATAATAAAACATGACTTTTCCACTTATGTTAGAGCTTGAAACAAAAGGTTTGATTTCCTGTGTAGACTTGATTAAACAACCCGTTTAATCAACCTTACTGATTGGCTCCTTCAGTTCTGCAGCTATAAAAACCAGTACAAAAAAATCCTTCAGCAATAGCTTAATGTAATACCTTGAGTATATTTAATTTTTACATAAATTAAAATCCAAAATGTTTGCTACTTTTTCAAAAAAATTAACAATGTTATGGGTAAAGAATAACGTTCAGTTAAGTTTCACTCAAATCATTTTGTTTTTTTCCTTCAACTAAAATCAAAAAGCCAGTCCATCTTGTTTAAAAATGACTAAAAGTGAATAATGTTTTCTCAGCTTTTATATTTTGGGTTATTCATCAACTACATTTGTCTTTTTAACAGGAAAATCTAAATTTAACAATTTTTTTTTCTCAAGAAATGTTGGAATGACAATAATGAGATAAGCTCATGTTAAGCATCATGTTCAAGCATTATGTTCAAGTTCAATTAAGTTTATTTATAGTAAGCCCCACCGTCACAGACATCTACACCTCCAGATGCAGGAAGAGAGTCACCTGCATCATGAAGGACCCCACTCACCCA